TGGAAATATAGATGACAATAGGTTCATCTCGACCTTGAGTTCGATTCCTAATCGCTTCTAAAAGTTTGTGATCATAATCAAAACCACCAAAGTCTTTGATTAATAACGAAGAAAGTTCGTTCCACGTTAAGTTTGGATTCTGATTATATTTAAATCTGAACCAATGAAGAGCATTGTCAGTGAAAATTTCAAACGCTTGTGAAATCAACAAGTCTTTGGACAAGCTACGAGCTATACAGTATTCTTCCAGTTTTTGAAGAAAGGATCTTGGACAGCTTTTACCATTGAAGGTGTGTCTTTTCAGATCTTTGAAGACGTTGGTTGGAGAAAAAGATTGAGGTGGTGGTGAAGGATACGGGGTATGGACCTGAATAGAATTTTGAGAAACAAGAGGGAGTTCCGTGACAGTCGGGTCAACCGTGACAGTCGGGTCAACAGGAGGGTCATTTTCAGTTGGAGCTGGAGTCAAGGATTCAAATTGTTTAGTAGTATCGTCATATTTCATCTTCAAAGTATCGAAAATAGCTTTAAAGTCTGGATATAAGTCAGTATCTATTCGTTCCAATCTGTAAAAGATATGATTAATAAAAGTTTCTATTAGTCGCAAGTATTTGGTTTCGCCTTGTAAAAATTTTTTAATTTTACAGTCCAAGTAGGTCAAGGTAGAATCAATTTGAGACAAGTCATCCTCAATCGGAATTGGAGAAGTCAGAATATCTTCAGGGTGAGAATTCGCAACTAAACGCAAAACCTGTTTTTTTAGAAGTAAAACAGTATTAGCTGGTTCCTCATATCTAATCTTCACTTCGTATTCGAGTTCGGCCTTGTTAAGGAATTCGTACTTAATAACCCTTTTCATTGTTATAATTATGTGTAAAGTTAAGTTTAAGAAATAAAAATTTAATTAAAAATTATACCTCTTTAAGTTATCTAGAATAAAAATATTAAAGTGATGGATGTAAGTAAGGTGTTAAATGTAGGTCTAAATATAATCTAGATAAGTTGAAAAACTAGATGAAGTTTTGTTCTGGAATAAAAATATTAAAGTGATGAATGTAAGTGTTGTATGAAATGTAGGTCTAAATATAATCCAGATAAGTTGAAACACTAGATGAAGTGTTGTTTTAGAATTTGGAAGGTATGAAAAGGATGAATAAATGAATGATGAATAATGAGTTAAGAACGAAAGGGAGAGCAATTAAATCAAAAGGGAATGGACAAGGCGCAGTAAAGGTGAAGAATTAAGAGAGAAAGAGGACTTTTACGTTGGGCGCCAACTGTCGTGAAGCGACAATTAAAAAAAAATAGAACCTAACCTAAGTACAACAAAACAACAAAAGTAGAGCCAGAAAACAATATATTTAAATTTATAAAAGGTATTTACAATTTTATAAAAAAATGGAATGAGGATGATGATGAATGAGGTGAGAGTACAATTAGATTATAAAAAAAAAAAAATAAAGGTGAGAGAATAGGGGAATATAGTGTTGTAGTGGGGCCTAAAAGTCGAAGCGACACACGTTGCGTTTGTAGAAGTAGGTTTTTTAGCAGCGACGGCACGCAGCGCCTGAAGCCAGCACACGCCGTTTGCGCTTGTAGAGGTAGGTTTTCTTAGCAGCGACGGCGCGCAGCGCTTGGAGCCAGTACACGCAGCGTCCGGAGCCGGCGCACGTAGCGCCTGGAGAAGGGGCGCGCAACGCTTAGAGCCAGCAGTTGCAGCGCCCAAAGGTAGCGCCGGCGGTAGGTGCACTCGGCGCCTGGGGTAAGTAGTAGTAGTGCCCGGAGTAGTGTGGCCCCCGCGCTTGTAGTAGACTCGAAGCGACTTCCGAGGTAGATGGAGGCTTGTAGGATTCCGGAGTGGCGCGGCCCGAGTTTTAAGAAGGCTTCGCCGAAGACTTCACGTGTAAATGGAGGCTTGCAGGATCCCGGGGCAGTGCGGCCCCGGGATAAGGCCTTTAGGAGATACTTCTAATTCGCGAACTGAAGCGAGACTGCCTTTCTTCACCGATTGTTCGGCTTTTATACCTTTCTAGAGAGAACGGAAAAATTATTTAAATTATACGCAAATTTTTTGTAAATGGTCAAGAGAAAAGAGGATTTATGTGGAATTATCGAAATAGGAATAACAGATCGGTAGCAAATTTGAATATAATTACCATGGAAACGATATAAATAAGAAAGACAAAACATGTCAAATTTTTGTTTTAGGTTTATAATAAGAAAACTATAAGATTTAAGTGGAAAATGAGATATTATTGATATAGGAAAAAAGGTAGTGCAACTGCCCACACAAAGCCCAAGATTGTAGAGTTACGGAAAACTAGCTAAAAGATCGAAAAAAGGTAGACTCCATTGACACCAATTTAAAAGTGCTGATAATGTGAAAATACGAAGTAGAAATGATTTGTTATTGTGTTCTTATGGTTTAAAATCGTTACAGGATCCTATGGAAATAAAGGTGATGTAAAATATCCAGTTTTGAGGTGAATGCAGAAAATCGAAACAGAATGGAAAAATGAATTTAAAATAATGTAAAATGATACGTAAGTAGTATAACACTACAAAAAAAATATCTACATCTATTTTATGGTGCCTTTGATTCCGTCGAAATTTGGGCGGTGCTGCAGTCCCTTCAGCGGTGCCAAGTTGACTGTCGGTATATCGAAGTGCTGAAGTGTTTATACAGTAGAGCTACGATGGCTATCCGAGTACAGAATCAGAGTACGAAACCTATCCAACTGCAGAGAGGTGTAAGACAGGGTGACGTTATATCCCCGAAACTCTTCGCCGCTGCATTGGATGACGTTTTCAAGCTACTGGACTGGAAAGGATGCGGTATTAACATCAATGGCGAGTACATCACTCACCTTCGATTTGCCGACGATATAGTCCTTACGGCAGAATCGCTGGAGGACTTAAGAACTATACGCAATGACCTCATTTGTGTCTCCCAACGGATAGGTCTTAAGATGAACATGGACAAAACAAAAATCATGTTTAACGTCCATGTCACACCTATGCCGGTAGTTGTTGGGAACACTAAGCTCGAAGTTGTTGACGAGTATGTTTACCTGGGACAAATAGTCCGACTAGGTAAGTCCAACTTCGACCGAGAGGTCAATCGACGGATTCAACTCGGCTGGGCAGCGTTCGGGAAACTACGACAAGATGTGTCCACCATTAAAAGGTATCCAGAGCGCTCCCTCCAATAATTCCGTCAGTCAAGGGCCAACTGAGAGGCCTTCCTTCGGCTGGTCTTGATCTTGAAACTGTAATGACACCTACGTTGGGTTCGGGCGGTCAACGAGGCGTATGTGAACCCCGTGAAGGAGTATGACAAGAGAGCGTCTGAAAACCCTTTCTCAAAAGAAAAGTTCAGACGGGGATTACGAGTCTTCCTGTGGTCGCCCCGGTTCCGACGTCTTCTTAGTGTGGACTGTAATTTTATATTTAAAGGTGAAGGATCCCTCGGGAATAAAACAGCAATTGTCTTCAAACCGCTTCGTGAGAGTACAATTACTTTCCCTATCACTCGTTAGACATACCTCAAAACCTGAAAACAAAATTGTATTACCAGTGCCTGTTGCCAGTGATGACTTACGGGTCTGAGACGTGGTCCTTCTCTGCTAGCCGTATGAGGAAGCTCAAGGGCGCTCAGCGAGCTATGGAGAGGACTATGCTCGGAGTTTCTCTGCGTGATAAACTTAGAAATGAGGATATCCGCAGTAGAATCAGAGTAACCAACATAGCCCAACGGATTAGTAAGCTGAAGTGGCGGTGGGCCGGCCATATAGCTCGAAAAACGGACAACCGATGGGGAAGAAAGGTTCTCCAGTGGCAGCCTCGTACCGGTAGGCGAAGTGTAAGGCGACCCCCCACTAGATGGAGAGACGACCTGGTAAGACATGCAGGAAGTCGATGGATGCAGGTGGCTCAGGACCGTGCTTTGTGGCATTCCTTGGGGGAGGCCTATGTTCAGCAGTGGACTTATGAAAGGCTGTAATAAAATAGGAACAATGATATGAATAAAATGTCTGAAATAAACATTATTATACTTCGTTAAAACTAAATTAACTTTCTCTATGAATAAATGTAAAGCGTAAAATGTAAATAATAATAATACATTTTGATTTCAAGACTATTTACCTTTCTTATGGATACATCGGAATCGGAAGACACGCCCGATATAAAAAAAGTAGTAGGAGTTTCTAGACATATATATTCACGTGTTTCTGTAGCATGTTATCAATCATCTACGTCTAATAGTATTTTAGAATGAAAAAAAACCTTTGACAGACATAGAGACATAGACACCGAGGTGACTCTAAAAGTGATCGAATTTTTCTAAATTTGGCACGGAACAGCATTTAATGATGTTCCTAAATTCAAGCGCACGCGGGCGAAGCCGCGGGTAAAAAGCTAGTTTGTGATAATTTCAAACCAAAGAGATTTAAATATATACTACTACTTAAATGTCTTTGTTTCAAACAAAAGTAAAAGCCTTAGTTAGCCGTATTTTCAAAAACTGCAATAACGGTATGTCATAATCCTGTATGAAATTGTGTCCAATTATATTTTTATATATTTATCTAGGTTTTTATATATTTATATAGGTTTTATCCTTATTTTAATAGTATAATATCTACCTATATTAGATAGATATTGTGCCCTTATTAGATGTAACTATATTAGATAGATAGTGTAAATATTCAAGTACCAATGTATATACATTTGTAAAATACCTACGACATCATTATGTTAAAAAACAATGTTACATCATCCGAGTAATATAGATAAGGTGTAAAGAATTAATAGAAACGATAGCGTCACTTCTACAACTTTTCGCCTAAAAACTGTTACCCGTAAAGCCGCGACCAGTTGACAGTTGAGTGCCGCAGACACAGAGTGACTTTTTATACACATTACACACCAGTCCTACGGCGCCAGCTGAGCGCGATTGTTGTGGTATCCGTCGTCTATATTCAATTTATAGTACTAAAATGACTCAACAAGGACCAGCTTTTGATGTTAATGCAATGACCTTGACCAGATGGGTCTTGGCTCAGCAAAGGACGGCACCTGGAGCGACTGGGGATCTAACATACCTTTTAAATTCTATCCAAACAGCAGTAAAGGCCATACAATCGGCCGTGAGAAAAGCGGGTATAGCTAAACTGTGAGTACAGTCCCATTATACATTTTAGTTATCACAACAACACAAACTTCAATATTATAGATTATAGTTCCCTAATATTATTGTTTTAAAACTATAAAATTAAAATAGAGCTTGAACACGCAACATATTTTAAAATATAATATCGGTAAAGATAAAATAATATTCAATTTGTGACTTGTGTGTTAATATTATTTATAAGGGTAACAATAATTTCTAAATTTAATAAATATAGGCCATAAGATAGAGACTTAAGATTTTGAAAACCAGACTCGCATTGTTGATAGGAACAGTGATTTATTTTAAACCTTTGATCTGACAATATCAAATATTAAAACTCAGTGAATAACAATAAAAACTCATTAGCATAACATTTGGCATATCCTTTTCCATTTAAAGAATTACTTATGAAGAAAAATATTTTTGTAAGTATATAATACAAAAAATGAAATTGACCGTGTAGTAGCGGTGTAAGAATATCATCTCACGGGTGTCGTAAGAGGCGACAGAGGGAAACAAACCAGAAGATAGGCAGCAGCATCTTTCTATTATCAACTAGTCAATTTAAAAAAAATACGTGGTTGCCAACCGTCCTGCTAAGCGTGGTAACTATGGCAAATAACCTCCCTTTTTGAGACAATCTATGGGGAGGGCTATTTTTATATACAGGTTCGTCAAAATAGTGACGTCCAATAGAAAAATTTAAATTCCCCACACCTAGGGGTATCCAGAAATACCCAATGTATATTATCCGATTTTTTGTAGTTTTCGAGTTATAATTTGTTTTGTATTTTTTTAGTGTTTTCTGCCGGTGGGGCTTCAAAAATTCATATCTAGTTTTGTAGTAGTTATTTTTCAGATTTTTTTCTTTTGCCATGATTGTTTTAAATTATTCTTTCACACATAAAACAATACATTTCCTAACATTCCTGCAACTAACTCAAAAAAGCATCGAAAGTAAGAATTATAGTTTCTAGTGGGGTAGACTCAAATTTTCAACTTAAATTTAAAAATACCAAAATGAGTTTCCATAGGTTCTAACTTTAAAAACTTTGCAAGTCCCTAAGCTATTTAAAACATTAAGAAAATGGTACTGAAGGGGCAATTGTTCGCTGTAATCGGCCTTTTAAGCTAAAAATCCAAAATTTTTTTAAGATTTAAAAAATATTTTGCCTATTTTTGCCATCCCTACGACAAATTTTAGTGGAAATTTCTCGGTTGCATTCAAATGTACACAAATTAATCGATAAAGATGATAATAAGATGACAATTTGTAAAAATTTAAATAAATAAGGTGTAATTTATTCATTCGGTCGTTTGGGCTTATTTTTGTATGATAACAAAAAAATTGTCAAAAATTAATCATTTTAATTCTTTATTAAAGCAAGTTTTCAAAATGACGCCCTCCTATTTCAATATTAAGACGACAGCTTTTTAAAAAGTTATGTTTTATTGTCTGAAAGAACGTAAATGAGTTTCTTTTTCAATTTTTCTTGCAGCTATTTACAGATTTTCTCCCAATTCTTCTTCATTATCTACTTCCCGCGCGTACACCAGCTCCATGCAAAATCCCCAAATAAGGCCGGCCACATACATACGGAATTCCGTTTCGAGATTCCGTTTCGGAATTCCGAACGGGTCGGTCACACACATACGGAATCCCGTTTTGCCCGGAAAATGTCGAACGGAAAACGACCGTACGTGTGACGCGGGTCATAGATTTTATATGGACTTGCTGCGTTCGGGATTCCGAATCGGAATATCGAAACGGAATACCGAAACGGAATTCCGTATGTATGTGGCGAGCCTAAAAGTCGATAGGGTTTAGGTCTGTCGAACGTGCCATTCGATCGGTTTTGTCGAAATTCGTTGACATGCTGTCTTGCGTAGTGCCAAGAAGCACCGTCATTTTGGAAAATCATTTGTTGTCGTACCGCTATGTTCACGTCTTCCAACAATTCATAAAAGTAAATTTGTAAAAAAATTCAGCCATCAGGCTCTTATTTTACGTGAGTCTTTGTGAAATAATAATAATTTTTTTTTTCACCAAAACTCCAGTAAAATAACATGAGCAAAACACGTACTGCACAATAATTCATAATTTGAGCATTGTCAAACGGGTTTTCGAACCTTTATTTTTTACATATTATAGCTTAAATTTATAAAAATCCAAATATAGGCAAAATATTTTTTTAAACTAAAATTTTTGTGGATTTTCGAAGGCCGATTACAGCGAATTAAGTATCAATTTTTTTAAATGTTTTAAATAGTTTAGGGACTTGCAAAGTTTTTAAAGTCAGTTAGAACCTATGGAAACTTCTTTTTATATTTCAATAATATTTTCATATTGAAGTTGAAAATTTGAGTCTACCCCACTAAAAACCTAAATGCTTACTTTCGATACTGTTTTGAGTAACTTGCAGGAATGTTAGGAAATTTATTATTTTAGGTGTAAAAGTATCATTTAAGACAATTATGTCAAAAGAAAAAATCTGAAAAATAACTACTACAACAAAAGATAATATGAATATTTGAAGCCCCGCCGGTAGAAAACACCAAAAAATACAAAAAAAAAATTATAACTCGAAAACTACAAAAATCGGATAACATACGAAGGGTATTTTCGGATATTCCTAGATGTTAGGAACTTAAATTTTTCTTTTGGACGTCACTATTTGAACCTTTCTGTATATATATTAGAAGTGAACTTTGTTAAGCTATAATAATGAAGATGATAATACAAAATTTTCAGGTTAAAACCCCACTATAAAGTTAGTGTATGTTATTTAAATACTAGCTGTTCCTCGCGACTTCGCCCACGTGTTATTTGGGGTTTTAATTTTTTTGCGCAGAACCCTAATTCTTTTTCTAAAATAAAAGTAGCCAAAGATACTCCTTATAACATCAGCTATCTGCCAGTGAAAATCCCGTCAAAATCGGTCCAGCCGTTTCGGAGATTAACCGGAACAAACAGACAGACAGACAGACAAAAACTTTAAAAATTGTATTGCATACCTTAAGCGAAAGCGCAAGGTATTGCATACCTTAAGCGAAAGCGCAAGGTATGTTCTACTATCGCCTAAAAATTAAGATTCCAACGTTTTATCGAATAAAATCGTATCTAGCAATCATATTATACATATAAATGATATAAAAAGCACATTGTTAGAAAGATAAATGATTGTTGAACTTATTAATATTTTTTTAAAATCGATTAATTGTTATTTTTAAATAAAAAAAAGTGATTTAGTGGCTTATGGTGTGGATTTATCATGTCCCTGTGGCTTGTAAACACGATAACTTTTGAAAATATCAATTGTTTAACTCAATCTATTTTTTAATATCTTCATCTATCATGTGGGAAGCCACTGAATGTAAATGGCAGTGTAATTTTGTTTTGTTTAGCTATAATTAATTTCTTTCGGCTCCAAAATGGCGAAATTTCTTTCATTTGGTAGCCTTGTATGTAAATTATTTCTGTAAATGGGAAGCTACAGCCACAGAGTAGTTTAGTAATTTAGTTCGGCTTCAGTCGCCGTCGTGAGTCGACATTGTTTCGGTTGTTTGCAGTGGCTCAAAAAGATCGCTGTACAAATACACAATATTCGAATAACCAAATTTGTTAAATATTAGATATTTATTCTTAAATATGAGATTATAATAATAATAAGAGATTTTTTTATTACAATATTCTAAAAGCACAGAATAAATAATAGTAGTACGTAGTACTAAAAGTAAGTAGTATAAATTTTTTGTCATGGGTGTCATTTTCATGGTTTTCGAGAGTGTTGAAGCCGATAGTGCCGTCGAAATGTAAATCCAGGATGGCGGCTGAACAAATTACCAAGTTTTTCATCATGGGTGTCATTTTCATGGTTTTCGAGGGTGTTGAAACCGATAGTGCTCTCGAAATGTAAATCCAATATGGCGGCTGCAATAGATATCAATTTTTTCATCTTGGGTGTCATTTTCATGGTTTTCGAGAGAGTTGAAGCCGATAGGGTTGTCGAAATGTAAATATAAGGTGGCGGCTGCAATGGGTATCAATTTTTTCATCATGGGTGTCATTTTCACGGGTTTCGAGGGTGTTGAAGCCGATAGTGCTGTCAAAATGTAAATCCAAGATGGCGGCTGCAATAGATATCAATTTTTTCATCATGGGTATCATTTTCATGGTTTTCGTGGGTGCTGATGCCGATAGTGCTGTCGAAATGTAAATCCAAGGTGGCGGCTGCAATAGATATCAAGTTTTTCATCTTGGTTGTCATTTTCATGGTTTTCGAGGGTGGTGAAGCCGATTGTGCTGTCGAAATGTAAATACAAGATGGCGGCTGCAATAGGTATCAAGTTTTTCATCATGGGGTGTTATTTTCATGGTTTTCGAGGGTGTTGAAGCCGATAGTGCTGTCGAAATGTAAATCCAAGATGGCGGCTGCAATGGATATCATTTTTTTCATCATGGGTATCATTTTCATGGTTTTCGAGGGTGCTGATGCCGATAGTGCTGTCGAAATGTAAATCCAAGGGGGTGGCTGCAATAGATATCAAGTATTTCATCTTGGGTGTCATTTTCATGGTTTTCGAGGGTGTTGAAGCCGATAGTGCTGTCGAAATGTATTAAAACTACTTTAAAAATTCCCTATAATCATGTTATACTTAATTTTTTTAATACGCTTAAGGTATGCCCAATTGGATTTACCAATATATTTTTGTTATTAGTACCGTCAATACTTTCATACGTATTTAGTAAAAAATCTGTAATATTGACATTACAAACAGACTGATTTTATCTATTTGTATAGATTAATTAGAATAATCAAGAAAATTTGTTTAAATTTAGTACAATAACTCTTGATTTTTTTATTTAATAAAATATTTTGTTTTGTCCAGCCATGGAATCTCAGGCGACACTAACGTCCAAGGCGAACAGGTCAAGAAGCTTGACGTGTTATCAAATGACTTGTTTATCAACGTACTGCAGTCATCCTTTACCACCTGTCTTTTGGTTTCTGAAGAAAATCCATCCGTTATACAGGTATACTGTACTGTATTCATTACTCAATATTTATTTTTCTCTTCTTTTTTGTTTAATGTTACCCACACACTAGGATTTTCTCCTGTATTGTGGAGGCAGTTTACATACCTAAGTTTTGCACAAGGATAAACATCCAGACCCGGAACAATTATTATTTGTAGGCCATACAAACACTTCTTCCACGGCCCTCAATGCAACAACTCATTTCTAAGCCACTGCGCCACAGAACCGTTGATTTTTAGGGTTCCGTATCCAAAGGGTAACCAACAGGACCCTATTATTAAGCCTCCGCTGTCCGGTCGTCTATCTGTCTGTCTGTCAGCGGACTGTATCTCATGATCACATTTTCACAGAATGTGTATTTCTGTTGCCGCTATAACAACAAATAATATAATTTAAAATTAAAAGTTATGTATAACCGACTTCAATATAAGTTATTAAGAATAACTCAAAAACTATTGGTCTGACCTTGATGAAATTCATATGACGAGAAGTATCAGCTTTCATATAGAAAAAAGAACCATCAAAATCGGTTCACCCAGTAAAAAGTTATGAGTTAACACACATTAAAAAAAACATACAGTCGAATTCAGTACCGTCTCCTTTTTGGAAGTCGGCAGAAAAATAAAAAAAAATGAAAAATTAAAGGGGGCCCTACTAGAAACGTGTTTTACGATGTTAGAAAACCCTTCATGCGCGAGACCGACTCGCACATGGCCGGTAATTTACTAATTTAGCTAAATACAATAAGTCTAATTCTGGATAAATAATTGTGCCGCGGTGAAATACAAACAGTGACTCTCTCGACCTTGCCTTTTATTTTTGATAGTAAGCTTAAAATAATACAGTTAAACGAATAACAAATAAATATGTTGTCATTCTCTACTACTTATCAGTTGTTTTTGTGTAAATAAATTGTTAATATATAAGTTAATTATTTTGTAAATATCAGAATTTGATATCCGATTAATGTCATATTTCTCAAATGCAATACCGGACGATATAATTGGGGTATTATTATTTCAAGAATATATTGGAAACCTACATATTAGAACAAACACCCCGAAATTAGTGTCTGCCCTGTTACAAAAAAAAATCCTACCGTTGCCACGCTTGGCACGCGGATTGGCTACAGCAGTTTTTATTTTTATTCGTTATTGGAGAGACGCTGCTGTGCATCTCCTGATTTGTTTTCCGTCTGTCGCCTCTTACGACTCGTTACGTTTTTCCTAGGTAGGTACAAAATAATATATTTTTGGAACAATAACTACTACTGTCGACAACGCTGAATTTATATATTATATTATACAAAAGTCGACTTGAACTGTGACCCGAAGACTAAGTTTGTTATCACTTTCGTCAACGAAAGTGATAAATGGAAATAGAGATAAGGTCAGAGTACCAACGCATAAGGTATATCTGTCTACTACGCTGTGGCGTCAAATCCCGGACGGAGTCCGCTTTGTCCTAAATCACAAATGTTTGCTTATGGTTGACAGTGTTATGTTTGTGTTTCTCCCTGTATCTATGACTCTATATCCTTTGTTTCCAATGTTTTAACAATATTATTTGTAGGATTAATCAGGCACTGGCAGATGCATGATTAAAAGTTAGCAGGACTGAGTGCTACTGCGGTTGCGCATACATCTGTAGTACTATCTCGTTCACAGCTGATCATATTATAGCAGCACAATTGGTTCGGCTCGACTGGGGAAGGACCACGTTTGCTCAGAATATCAGCGTAAAATGCCTATTAATTTTGCTGCGTTTTGTATGGTGAGTGACGAGAGACTCTTTTTACTAATAACGAGGTATTCCATCACTTTCCTCAGGAGCGACGATGCATCTATATTTTAATTCTTATTTAAGGAAAGATGATACTGGGACTGTGTGCTCGGTTAGCGCCCTTACGTTTATTCAAAAGTTGTTACAAAGAAGCACAATGTACACTGGCAATCGGCCGATATTATGTCATATTTAATGTTACATTAAAAGTAATAATGAAAAGCTAATAACAAAGAAATTTAAGTAGTATATATTTAAATCTCTTTGGCGAATAATGACTTTTCTATTCTGCCTCCACGCGGTAATTACTACGGAACTAATAAAACATAGTAATTATTTGTTAATACGAGTATCTTACCTACACCACGGAATAAATAATAGTATTCCGCACCTATACTATAATTATAAGCGATTACGTTTATAAACTATTTTCACTAATAACTTTAAAGTTTAGCATTTTTTTTATTTTAACCATAACCTCAAAAATGTATGATAGAATAGGCATGAATATACATAGATATTTGAAACAGAAACAGAAACTTTTTTATTCAATATAGATTATAAATAATACTTATTGAAAGTCACTCTTTTGTTTGATTACCACTGGTTTGATTACCACACATTTTTATTGGTTTTCTCCCTTTGTTTTATCTGTGTTGTCTTCGGAAACCAGAAAATATTACAAAGATTAGGAATAAATTTTGTACCAAACTTTGTTCATTCAAATATTATTATTACTTTTGGCAAATTAAATATAAAACAATATTACAAAAGAATAAACCCATAGCACTTATAACTGGATAACCAGTCTTAATAATAAAAGGAAAAATGTCTTTAGAGTTTACTAGAAATTAAAAAGGAACTGAAACAGCTTCGCTAGACGAATATCTTCATAAAAATGTATAAAATACTATCTTTTATAAGCGACTTCGTCCGCGTAGAACTTAAACAAAAAGACTGCAGATCTATATTAGTGGTCTTTGTGGAAGTGTATATTATACGTGGTAGAGCCATGCTGAAGCAATATGGTTGTAGCACGAATGAATCGGCCTCACTAGGGTAGGACCACGCTCTCACAGACTAGTAGCGTAAAATAACAGCTTAATGCTGCTGTTTCGTATGGTGAGTGTCGAGAACTGGAGACCCTTTTTTACTGGAAACGAGGCATTCCATCTTAGTCCCCAGGGGTGACAACGCATATATGCATTTTGATTCTTAATCGAGGATAAATTTAGATTTCTATGGACCACAGCATCCACTTACCATAAGATAGACTGTGTGCCCGTTTGTCACCATTATTTCATAAAAAAAGCAGTTTAGATATCGAAAAACATCCATAAACTAGTTCTTTTTTGCTATTATCTCAAAAACTATGTGTGATATGGGAAAACATTTATAATTAAAACTTAAAATCTTTTAATTTAAGAAAGATCTTATACCAAGTTTTGTTGTAAAATGTTGAAGTAAAAAAGATGCTATAAATCGATTTTACATCAAACCTTTGAAAAATAGAAGATATTGTTATGACCTTTTTTTTGTGTAAAATTGCAAGCCTAAGAAGTTTTGCTCAAAACTATTTTTATATCTCCTATAGTTTAAAAGATAATAATCATAAAATCATTTATTTTATTACGTTTCAATTTCACAAAAACATCTGCATGTTTTTCGGATGATAATAATAGGCTACCTAACTGAATTTCAATTTTTTAATTGCTTTCTATAATATATAACTTTTCCACGAACATAATTATTATGTAGAGAACATATTCGTAGAAAAGTTAATAGTTAAATTTATACAGCCAGTAAATATCCGCCGCGCTGTCACTTGAGCTTAACAGAAGCCAGTTATTTGGATATTACAGACGGACACTTCAATTTTATTTAAATGTATAGATATTATACAATACAACATAAAAAAGTTTGATCTTACAGGTAGAAACCGAAAAACGTGGAAAATACGTAGTATGCTTTGACCCGTTAGACGGTTCCTCCAATATTGATTGCCTCGTGTCAGTTGGATCTATTTTCTGCATCTACAAGTAAGTGCTTTACTCCGCCTTTTAAACCTTATCGTAAATAGTTTATTCATAATGTTGTATGAAGACAAAAATATACGTAAGATTTAAACATTCATGTGATTATCGTTATCTGCGGTGTAGTTACCAAGTGGTAAAATTAACAATTTTGTACATCCGACTTTAATATAAATAAAATGAGAACATCATCAATGTAATCGAAGTCAATTAAATACGCATTATCAAGGATAACTGAAAACTACTAATCAGATCTTGATCAAATTTATATGGGACCACATGAGAGGCTCCAGCTTTCAAATAAAAAAATAATCATTAAAAACGGTTTACCTAGAAAACAGTTCTGATGTAACACATAAAAAATACAGTCGAATTTAGTACTTTTTTGAAGTAATATAATATGTAAGTTAATTACTGATGCCAGCTTACCTACTTGACATTTGTATTTTAGAATTAAATAACTTAACATTGTTTATGATGCTTTTAATTGTGCTAATATAGTCCGAAGTTGTTTCGTTTTTAAGTTATATACTTAGATTTTATTATTGGGTAAAGATTATTAAAGCACTGCTACTACAAATACTCGATTCAACAAGAACCATACATAGCTCCTAGTAGGAATTTACCAAAAAGTAATCAAGATTTATAACTTCACTTTCGTGAACAATTCTAAAGAAAGATACTTAAATTTTAGGAAAACATCAGATGGCGAACCATCAGAATCGGATGCGCTCCGACCAGGACGAGAACTGGTCGCCGCTGGGTACGCTCTATACGGCTCAGCCACAATGATGGTACTTGCTCTTGGAAAGGGAAAGGGCGTAAATGGATTCATGTATGATCCGTCCATAGGAGAGTTTATTTTGACTGACCCTAATATGCGCATTCCGGAGAAGGGCAACATCTACTCTATTAATGAAGGTAAATAAAGGAAATAATCAATAAACGTACATATGTATATAATATTATGAAATAGTTTTTTTTCTATCATTTCTTTATGGACATTTAAAATTAATTTTAGGTTGGGTTTAGAATCGTTTGGCAGGAATTTGGGGGAGTAATGTGTTTTATTTAATTGAGTTTTGGTCTCCGATTATAATAATATCTACCACTCGCATTAGAAGATCCACCGTTTTCGAGAAAATAAAAGAAAACTGTTATAACGTAAAATGTATCAAACATGGAAAAACGTATGAATATTACTGAGAAAGCTGGATAGCATACAGAATTTTGTGTAAATGTGACAAGGACGTAAGACCATGGCAAAGATTAGTGTTATATTATTATACTTCTGTGGTCTATACTGTCTGTAAAGTGTCAAGTGTCGCAGGACGCACTATTTTTTATGATTCCGCCGTTGGTTGCTCTTCTTGCGTGAATATGTGCTCTCCAGTGTATTATTGTAGCTTTTATCGTGCCCAGAAACACTGAGCACCCAGAAATATTTTCAGTTGTTAGGTTAGGTTCAGGTGGTTAGGTTAGAAGGTTATGGCCTTGTGGCGGGAACGAAGCGCAACGTAGCTCCCGCCCCAGCTTTCGTGGTAATTTTTTTAACACCCAGAAATACTTGAGCACTCAGAAATCCTTACAGTTCTCATAGGAGACAACCCCGCTCCTTCCTCCCCCTCCTGCTGGAAACTATAAATTAATCATTTTGAGGTTAGGTATATGGGATTTTCTCTTATGGGATACTTTTTATGGGAGTGGTGTCGGTGTTTAGGGGACACTCCCCCCTTCCCTATGCCACCCCTCCTGCCAAACGATTCAAAATTTTAACCTTAATTTTTATGTGTAATTTAAAGTGGCAAATAACCACACAGTCCACCTAATGATATGTACATACTGTAGCTCATAACCACCGACATTTTAATTAAGAAAAAAAATAAGAATGCAGGTGCGTTATATTTCTAAAAGTTTGACATAAATTGCCTATTTCCCAGTAAAAGGGTTTCCAGTTTCCGTCATTCATCATAGAAAACACAACAGCATTATGCTGCTATTTTACCCTAGTACGAGGGCGACACTGAAAGTTCTTAGAAAATCAAAAACTGAAGAAACTGGCAAGTTATGAGTTTTATTAAATCTTTTCAAAATAGTGTCCATTTACATCAATACATCGCTGCATCCAATGGAACCACTCTTCGACGGCATTTTGAAACGCAGCCACTGCTTCCTCGGCGTCTATAAATCGTTTTCCTCGAAGTTTTTCTTTTATTTTCTGAAATAAATAAAAATCGCAAGGTGCGAGGTCGGGCTATAGGGCGGGTGACCCAGTAATTCCACGTCTGACGTCGCCAAATAGTCACTCTATCAATCACTCTGCAGTAACTATTTTTCGATCCTCTAAAACAATTGTTGCGTACTGACCTGTCCTTCCGAAGAACGAGGCCACCATCTTTTTTCCCACGCTTCGAGCTCTCTTCACTTTAGTTTGCAACTTCTCGGAAGGAAACACCCAGACAGCAGACTGTCTCTTAGTTTCAGGATCATAACAATAAATCCAGCCTTCGTCATCCGTAAGTATGTCGAACAACACAGCATTTGAGTCACCTCTGTTAAATCTTTGAATGATTTCACGACACCAATCAACACGACGGAGTTTTTGGGCCTCTGTCAAATTATAAGGTATCCATCGGGCCCAAAGCTTCCTAACCTCTCAATGTTCATGGAGGATTTTGTGCACTTGACTCATACCGATGTCTAAGCTTGTCCGAATCTGCTTATAAGTCACTCTTTTGTCAGTCTCTATCATAAGCAGCACAACACGGATGTTACATTCAGTCGTCGCCGTAGAAGGCCGTCCCTCACGCAGATCATCGGTGAGATTAGTGCGACCACGTTTAAACTCATTAAATCAGTTGTAAACAGTGACACGAGATGGGGCTTCATCGTCATCGTTACGAGATGGGGCCAATCGGAGTCTATCATTACTTTCTTATCGACTTAAATGACATCGAAAGTAAAACAAAAATCATTGTACGAAAATTTTCTCGCGTTAAATTCATGCTGACGTGACACAGACAATTTTCAATTTGCCGCCAAATCGTAAACATATGACTAATTAATAAAATACCTACATACACAATAATATTCGCAGAGTTCTATTTTCAAAATTTGAACTTATTTTTTATTATATCGTTTACAAGTGGCCAGTTCTAAAAGCTTTCAGTGTCGCCCTCGTAAGTGTTTTGATTGGAGATAAAACGGATAGATGTTTGGCCGGATACCGGATATTCGGCCAGTCTTATCGCCGGATAGCCGGATATCCGGCCGAACATTGCCGTTTAGTGCATCGTAAGCAGCGAAGTTGCGTAGGTGGCGCTAGTGGTGGTGATCATGTGCACGCGGTACTCGGGCATCTTCGGGTCTTTTCGTTCATGAGCAAAGTTAGCAATTGGTTCATTGACTTCTATTGATTGCAAACACGATCGTTTGAGGTTATTAAAATACGTGCTTTGTTATTTGATTTTTATAATTCTTAACAGATTTAACGACAAAATGACATCGATAAAGAAAAGATCGCTTTTATGGGAACATTTTGATATATTTTGATAGACAGTGATGATCCTAAGCTTGCTGTTTGTTTACTATGCAATGTTAAAATTTCACGTGGTTAAAGCTGAAAGAGCTTGCCAGAAATTTCTACTGGAGTACTTAAAAATCAGTCCTTCAGTTCATCGTCAACACCGGCTAAAAGTAGAGGAGAGGAGACAGAGTCAGCTGTATCTCGCGAAGCTCATTACACGTTCTGGGATTGCTTCAATAAAGTAGGAAATGAAAATAATACCAGCCAGTCTCGCCATGAAGAAAAAACGCAATTTCATGTGAAATTGATTTGTATCTAAAATCAGTGCGAATTGCTCGCGATCGTGACCCTTATATTTGGTGGGCAGCTAATGCTACACAATATCCTAATTTATCGACGTTTGCCAAAATCTATCTTTCAGCATCCTGCAGCACTGTGTACAGCGAAAAACTTTTTTCTGAAGCTGGCCTTGTTTATGAAGACAGGCGAAACCGCTTGTTACCTACCTTTCAATGCAGAGAAACTAGTATTTATTCTTCATAATTTGCCCTTAGTGCATAGACAGTACTTAACTAAATTTGATATTTTGTATTTTTTTATCCGGTATCCGGCCGGTTAGCAGTTTGTCATCCGGTATCTGGCCGGATTGTAATTTGGGCCGGATAGGCCGGATACCGGATAGTTACCAGATATCCGTTTCATCTCTAGTTTTGATAGTGAGAAGGACAACGTAAAAAATCTATTGTTCAGACGTATCCTATTATAAAAGCCTTTATCTAACTTGCAATGTGTATGTTTGTTAAGGTCAAATCTTGAATCTGAGTTTTAAAGCAGTTATACTCATCCAATTAAGCTGAAATTTCTATTCAAGTGACAAGTTTTTATTTTTAATATTAAATGTAATATACTCCTCCTTATCCTAATCACCTCGGTAATAGTCCAGACTTCTCGTTTTTTGACGCTGCTTCCTGACACTTTCCTGGAAATTTTAGGATTTCTTCTTCCTCATCAAGCCATAAAAATCGCTGCTGGTCATGGACCTCTGCCGTTACAGCCTGTAACTTACATGGAGAATTTGCCATAATCGTCATGCTTCGAAACGTTATCGAGTCACAGGGCTGAGCATAGATTTATTATACTGACTGAAAAGGACGGGGAGAGCAAGGGGACCATAAAAGTGTAACTGAATTTACAGAGGCGAACTGTAGAGTGTATGTTGTGACTTTCTTTTAAAGAAAGATGGCAATGGCAAAAAAGACGACATTTATTCACTATTTACAATGATTGCGGCACAACAATATTGATTATATTAATTAATTCTATACTATTCTATAGGGAGCTCTATTGGCACTAGAGGGACTTTTCTTGACTATTTCTTTTTTCTTCTTATTTGCTGTCGGAAGCTCTTCTCTGCCGCGAGTGAATCGAAAGAAATTCGGCGGTCAGATGCTCTTTTTAACTTCTTATATTCCCGCGGCGGGGGTCTCACCGTTAGTGGTCTCCCACATGGGCTCGCTGCGCCCTAATTGCTCGTTTGCATCGTGTTGCGGTTTGAGGGGCGTACTGGGCCTGCGGGGTTGACGGAGCGGCGGCTCCCCGTGCCGTCCGTAACACTGACGTTAGAAATTTAATAAATTTATGGGTTTGAGCATGCTGCCATATATCGGAACTCATAAAATCTTCTTGGCGTTTCCCACAGTCGCCTGTAACGACTACCATAGGAAGAAATGGGGTCATGAATTTTCTAACGCCGCCACCATTCGTCATCATGTCATTTAAGTATAGCGTCCTCTATTTATAAGAAACGAACTCTTGGTTCATAAATCGCTTACGTTACTAAAGTGATAATATAACAATTTCTCTTATTCCGATGTACGTGGCAAAACAAAACCCACAAAATACATACTCTTCTTATATTTTAAGGTTACGCAGCGGAGTGGGACAATGGACTAAAAAACTATATCGAAACTAAGAAGCAGCCTAAAACAGGAAAGGCCTACGGCGCAAGATATGTGGGTTCCATGGTGGCCGACGTGCACAGAACCATCAAATACGGTGGTATTTTCATGTACCCAGCTACAAAATCTGCACCGAACGGAAAAGTAAATATTTTTCGTCTATTATTACCGTGATTATTTTAAAATAAATTATAATGTTTATCATCTGAAAAACAGTATCCGATATCAAATTCGGTTTTTAAGAATTTGAACAGAAACAACAACATACACAATAGTCAATATTACGACAGTGACAGTTTCTTTTTTTTATTTATTTATTACGAAAATTATCTATATGTATCTTATACACTGACCTCTATATATATACATATACATAGATACATATATAGAGGTCAGTGATCTTATTACTCTAAGATTATCTACTCACATCAATAAGACGTAGACAATCTACTTCTGACCATAAGCCGCTACTAAAGAGGAGAATTGCAGAATAGTACGATTATTTAAGATTTTTTTTTTATAAAATGAAGTGACATACGAACTTACAGTCCATTTCACTAGTATGTTACCAGTGTGTAAAATTGATGTTGATTGATTTGTTACTTCGCAAGTAATTTTATTATAAAACAATTATTGAAATCTATTACGAAAGGAGAAGAATGATTGTAGGGTGACAACCTCGTTCGGGTAAGCGTAGTGTAGGGCTGGCCCCTATTACATGGAATGCCGACCTGGTAACAGATGCAGGAAGTAGATTGGTAGTAGCCAATCTTCAGGAAATGGATGTGGCTGTAATGAATGAATGAATTAACGAATAAAGTAATTTATGTAATATTTATTAATTTATAAGTTACTCGGAATGAGACTCATTTTCGGCGACACAGATATTAGTCGTTTCATTAATCTACCCTCTAAGTCTAGGTTTCAATCTACAAACCGATATTACTAATAAATTTTATCTTTTGCACGCTCACATGACCCACAAATGATCTTAAGAGGTAAGGCTATCCTTGATTAGATGATGATTCATTTGAACCTTTAAATTTGCAAATGTTTATGAAAATAATTGGTTTTATTGCAACAAAATAATGTTAGATTATGTTTTTAATTTACCTACGGTATTGGATCCTTATCAATGGCCCTATTTGTTTTTCGACGTCGACATTCTATAGTTTTATTTTTCGTTTTTGAATCTGTTCGTTTTCCGGCTCAAACTAACTACTTAAAAATTCTATAAATTATGCAAATCACCTTATCTTTGGAATATATAATTATAAAATAACCCTTTAGTTATATTTTTTTTGGTTTAACTCACTTTGTTAATTTAAAATCTTCTAATTATTTCGTTTTCATATTAATCATTAAATAACATACTTATACCTAATACTTTGTCTTTCCAGTTGCGCCTTCTGTATGAATGTAACCCAATGTCCTTTATAGTAACGGAAGCGGGGGGCTTTGCTACAAATGGCAAAATTCCTATTCTGGACATTCAACCTACATCAATCCACGAACGAGCGCCCTGCTATCTCGGCTCTAAGAAAGACGTGGAAGAACTTTTGCAACATTTGACTGCGTAAATTTTTTTATAAATACTGTTTATGTTAAATAAAGTCTAATTCTAGTCTGAATTCATCCTTTTTTGTCCTTAACACAATTTTGTACCAATTAGAAAATTATCAAAATTACCTTATTGAAAACATTTCAGAAATAAGAACACATTTATAAAATCCAACCTATGCAGAACCAAGATGAAGCCTGTGCCCAACAATGCGACCTAAATAAGCTAAATAAGAAAAGAACCGCACCATTTTAACGACCTCTGAATTTTTAGTAAAATACCTTCGTCCCATTACTAGATACAGGCTTTTCTAGATTCTAAGAGGGTTTTAGGGTAATGAAGAGCTTCTGCCCCAAAGCGCGTGTGAAGGCTTTTTGTATCTATGTGTATCTGTTCTATTTTTTTAATTTCTCCAGTGTGTTCCATCGACGCAGAGCATGTATTAAATGAGCACTTGAAAATTGCCAATAACATTTTCATTGGTGAGGTCGGGGATCGAAATTCGCAGTATATATGCGAAAAGCTGATTCTCCCGTACCTACATATCTCGTACCTCTAAAATTTAAGGCGAGCGCTTATACCGATTTAAGACAGTCCCGTTTTCCTCGATGGTATACGGGTAATATCATCTGAATTCTATTGAAACCATTTTTATAAACCATGTTATGGCACATACATAAACGACAAGAAATGAAATATAAAATCAGTTCCAAAGATATATTATTCAAATTAATTCTCTTACAATTTTAGATTACACAAGTAAACAACATTTTTTAACTGCAAGAACATTTCATGCGAGTTTATTTCAATATACACAGATTTTCTATAAGACACTCATTTTTGTATAGGATAAACCATATAAACCAATATATATTTCACAATTAACCAAGAACTTCAAATATTAAATATACCATATTACGCTCTTAGTAGATAAAAAATAAGGCCTGTGTTAACATTGCACATTGGCATTCAATTAATTTGTCATTTTTCTGACGTAGGTTAAATTCTATCATTAATGTTTTTCAAGTAATAATTTATAAATAGGTATATTAGTTAGTTGTATAATGAAAAAAAATTGTATAATTTTCAAAGTTGTCTTCTTAAAACGTTATAATTGTAACGACTACAATATATTACTATTGCAATCCTCGTCCGGGAATATCAATTTTCATAATAGTATATTTTCCCTTTAAAGTTTAAAAGTACTTGATGGATTTTGATGCGGTTTTTTTGCTAACAACTACTAAATCAGTTTATAACAAAGGTTATTTTGCAATATGCGCCCAAATTTTCAGAGAAGGTTCAGAAGGAGTAATATAGACGAATGGTTAAGAAAAATTAATTAAAAAATCTCAAACATTCTGCCCTTTTTATCATTTTAACTTAGAATGCGTGGTAATCTACTATTTTACTACGAACGCATACAGAGGAGAGCGCGTACGCGTAGTTGATGCCCATAAATCACGGTCAATTTGGGATAATTTGAAATAAAAGTAGAAGCCTTATTTACTCGTATTTTCAAAAACTGTAATAACGGTATATCATTATTTATATCCAGTCTCCCGAACAAGCCGGTTTCTGAAAAGGCTTTAGCACCATAGAACACATACATACCCTTCGGAACATTGTACAGAAGTCCGGGGAGTACAATTTGCCAATATGTCTGGCGTATGTGGACTATGAGAAAGCTTTTGATTCCGTCGAAATTTGGGCGGTACCGCAGTCCCTTCAGCGGTACCAAGTTGATTGTCGGTATATCGAAGTGCTGAAGTGTTTGTACAATAAATATAAAATAAAATAATATAATAATAAAATAAAAACCTATCCAATTGCAGAGAGGTGTAAGACAGGGTGACGTTATTTCCCGAAACTCTTCACCGCTGCATTGGAAGACGTTCTCAAGCTGCTGGACTGGAAAGGATACGGTATTAACGTCAAAGGCGAGTACATCACTCACCTTCAATTTGCAGACGATATAGTCCTTATGGCAGAATCGCTGGAGGACTTAAGCACGATGTTCAATGTCCTCAATAGTGTCTCCCAACGGATAGGTCTTAAGATGAATATGGATAAAACAAAAATCACGTTTAACGTCCATGTCACACCTATGCCGGTAGTTGTTGGGGAAACTAAGCTCGAAGTTGGTGACGAGTATGTTTACCTGGGACAAATAATCTGACTAGGGATGTCAATCGACGGATTCAACTCGGCTGGGCAGTGTTCGGGAAATTACGACATATCTTCTCGTCAGGTATACCTCAAAACTTAAAAACTAGATTGTACAATCAGTGCGTGTTGCCACTGATGATCTATGAACTGAAACGTGGTCCTTCACTGCTGGCCGTATGAGGAAGCTCAAGGTCGCTCAGCGAGCTATGGAGAGGGCTCTGCTCGGGGTTGCTCTGCGTGATAGACTTAGAAATGAGGAAATCCGCAGTAGAACCAGGGTTACCGAAATAGCCCAAAGGATTAGTAAGCTGAAGTGGCAATGGGCCGGCCATACGAGTATAGCTCGAAGAACCGACAACCGATGGGGAAAAAAGGTTTTCGAGTGGTGGCCTCGTACCAGCGGTCGAAGTGTAGGGCATCCCTCCACCAGATGGAGTGACGACCTGGTAAGACATGCAGGAAGTCGATGGATGCAGGTGGCTCAGGACCGTGATCTGTGGCATTCCTTGAAATAAATTATTCTTAGATTTCTTTGTTTTCAGTTTTAAACTTGATTTAGTTCAGTAAAATTCACAATTATAGATATCCAATTTGGCTAACTCCGCTGGTGTCGATATTAAGTGCGACGACCCTTAAAGTATTGATGGGTTCAAAAATATTAAAATAAAAAAAATCGCTAGTATATTCAATCCAGTCTTCATTGTATATTATTTACAATCCTGGTCACATGTAATCAAGAAACATGAGAATCTTTTATAAACTTTGTATCGTGTAGTAAATAAATATTGGCGCTCCTAATCTTGAAACTACGCGGTGAGTGCGACGAACTGGTGGAATACGTCCAAGATGTGAGGATCCAAATCTTGAGTGAAGAGAAGCGTTTCAAGTGTGCTGCTATACTTCTGCACTTGTTCGTGATGCTGTAAAGATAACATGTTTTCCATCTAACATTTGTATAAGAAACATACATAACACTAACATAACCTATACTTTTACTAAAAGCGAAAGATGAAAAATATAACACCGCGCCACGGTGCTGCGGTACCAGTGCGTGTATATATATAACAATGTGCGTGTATACACGACAGTGTGCACTTATCACTAGGAACACTTGGCGCAGACGGTGCTGCGGTACCAGTGCGTGTATATATAACAATGTGCGTGTATACACGACAATGTGCACTTATCACTAGGAACACTTGGCGCACACGGTGCTGCGGTACCAGTGCGTGTATATATAACAATGTGCGTGTATACACGACAGTGTGCACTTATCACTAGGAACACCTGGCGCAGGCGGGCCACGGTGCTGCGGTACCAGTGCGTGTATATATAACAGTGTGCGTGTATACACAACAGTGTGCACTCACCACTAGGAACACCTGGCGCAGGCGGGCCACGGTGCTGCGGTACCAGTGCGTGTATATATAACAGTGTGCGTGTATACACAACAGTGTGCACTCACCACTAGGAACACCTGGCGCAGGCGGGCCACGGTGCTGCGGTACCACTGCGTGTATATATAACAGTGTGCGTGTATACACAACAGTGTGCACTCACCACTAGGAACACCTGGCGCAGGCGGGCCACGGTGCTGCGGTACCAGTGCGTGTATATATAACAGTGTGCGTGTATACACAACAGTGTGCACTCACCACTAGGAACACCTGGCGCAGGCGGGCCACGGTGCTGCGGAACCAGTGCGTGTATACATAACAGTGTGCGTGTATACACAACAGTGTGCACTCACCACTAGGAACACCTGGCGCAGGCGGGCCACGGTGCTGCGGTACCACTGCGTGTATATATAACAGTGTGCGTGTATACACAACAGTGTGCACTCACCACTAGGAACACCTGGCGCAGGCGGGCCACGGTGCTGCGGTACCAGTGCGTGTATATATAACAGTGTGCGTGTATACACAACAGTGTGCACTCACCACTAGGAACACCTGGCGCAGGCGGGCCACGGTGCTGCGGTACCAGTGCGTGTATATATAACAGTGTGCGTTTATACACAACAGTGTGCACTTATCACTAGGAACACCTGGCGCAGGCGGGCCACGGTGCTGCGGTACCAGTGCGTGTATATATAACAGTGTGCGTGTATACACAACAGTGTGCACTCACCACTAGGAACACCTGGCGCAGGCGGGCCACGGTGCTGCGGTACCAGTGCGTGTACATATAACAGTGTGAGTGTATACACAACAGTGTGCACTCACCACTAGGAACACCTGGCGCAGGCGGGCCACGGTGCTGCGGTACCAGTGCGTGTATATATAACAGTGTGCGTGTATACACAACAGTGTGCACTCACCACTAGGAACACCTGGCGCAGGCGGGCCACGGTGCTGCGGTACCAGTGCGTGTATATATAACAGTGTGCGTGTATACACAACAGTGCGTGTATATATAACAGTGTGCGTGTATACACAACAGTGTGCACTCACCACTAGGAACACCTGGCGCAGGCGGGCCACGGTGCTGCGGTACCAGTGCGTGTATATATAACAGTGTGCGTGTATACACAACAGTGCGTGTATACATAACAGTGTGCGTGTATACACAACAGTGTGCACTCACCACTAGGAACACCTGGCTCAGGCGGGCCACGGTGCTGCGGTACCACTGCGTGTATATATAACAGTGTGCGTGTATACACAACAGTGTGCACTCACCACTAGGAACACCTGGCGCAGGCGGGCCACGGTGCTGCGGTACCAGTGCGTGTATATATAACAGTGAGCGTGTATACACAACAGTGTGCACTCACCACTAGGAACACCTGGCGCAGGCGGGCCACGGTGCTGCGGAACCAGTGCGTGTATACATAACAGTGTGCGTGTATACACAACAGTGTGCACTCACCACTAGGAACACCTGGCGCAGGCGGGCCACGGTGCTGCGGTACCACTGCGTGTATATATAACAGTGTGCGTGTATACACAACAGTGTGCACTCACCACTAGGAACACCTGGCGCAGGCGGGCCACGGTGCTGCGGTACCAGTGCGTGTATATATAACAGTGTGAGTGTATACACAACAGTGTGCACTCACCACTAGGAACACCTGGCGCAGGCGGGCCACGGTGCTGCGGTACCAGTGCGTGTATATATAACAGTGTGCGTGTATACACAACAGTGTGCACTCACCACTAGGAACACCTGGCGCAGGCGGGCCACGGTGCTGCGGTACCAGTGCGTGTATATATAACAGTGTGCGTGTATACACAACAGTGTGCACTCACCACTAGGAACACCTGGCGCAGGCGGGCCACGGTGCTGCGGTACCAGTGCGTGTATATATAACAGTGTGCGTGTATACACAACAGTGTGCACTTATCACTAGGAACACCTGGCGCAGGCGGGCCACGGTGCTGCGGTACCAGTGCGTGTATATATAACAGTGTGAGTGTATACACAACAGTGTGCACTCACCACTAGGAACACCTGGCGCAGGCGGGCCACGGTGTTGCGGTACCAGTGCGTGTATATATAACAGTGTGCGTGTATACACAACAGTGTGCACTCACCACTAGGAACACCTGGCGCAGGCGGGCCACGGTGCTGCGGTACCAGTGCGTGTATATATAACAATGTGCGTGTATACACAACAGTGTGCACTCACCACTAGGAACACCTGGCGCAGGCGGGCCACGGTGCTGCGGTACCAGTGCGTGTATATATAACAGTGTGCGTGTATACACAACAGTGTGCACTCACCACTAGGAACACCTGGCGCAGGCGGGCCACGGTGCTGCGGTACCAGTGCGTGTATATATAACAGTGTGCGTGTATACACAACAGTGTGCACTCACCACTAGGAACACCTGGCGCAGGCGGGCCACGGTGCTGCGGTACCAGTGCGTGTATATATAACAGTGTGCGTGTATACACAACAGTGTGCACTCACCACTAGGAACACCTGGCGCAGGCGGGCCACGGTGCTGCGGTACCAGTGCGTGTATATATAACAGTGTGCGTGTATACACAACAGTGTGCACTCACCACTAGGAACACCTGGCGCAGGCGGGCCACGGTGCTGCGGTACCAGTGCGTGTATATATAACAGTGTGCGTGTATACACAACAGTGTGCACTCACCACTAGGAACACCTGGCGCAGGCGGGCCACGGTGCTGCGGTACCAGTGCGTGTATATATAACAGTGTGCGTGTATACACAACAGTGCGTGTATATATAACAGTGTGCGTGTATACACAACAGTGTGCACTCACCACTAAGAACACCTGGCGCAGGCGGGCCACGGTGCTGCGGTACCACTGCGTGTATATATAACAGTGTGCGTGTATACACAACAGTGTGCACTCACCACTAGGAACACCTGGCGCAGGCGGGCCACGGTGCTGCGGTACCAGTGCGTGTATATATAACAGTGTGCGTGTATACACAACAGTGTGCACTCACCACTAGGAACACCTGGCGCAGGCGGGCCACGGTGCTGCGGTACCAGTGCGTGTATATATAACAGTGTGCGTGTATACACAACAGTGTGCACTTATCACTAGGAACACCTGGCGCAGGCGGGCCACGGTGCTGCGGTACCAGTGCGTGTATATATAACAGTGTGAGTGTATACACAACAGTGTGCACTCACCACTAGGAACACCTGGCGCAGGCGGGCCACGGTGTTGCGGTACCAGTGCGTGTATATATAACAGTGTGCGTGTATACACAACAGTGTGCACTCACCACTAGGAACACCTGGCGCAGGCGGGCCACGGTGCTGCGGTACCAGTGCGTGTATATATAACAATGTGCGTGTATACACAACAGTGTGCACTCACCACTAGGAACACCTGGCGCAGGCGGGCCACGGTGCTGCGGTACCAGTGCGTGTATATATAACAGTGTGCGTGTATACACAACAGTGTGCACTCACCACTAGGAACACCTGGCGCAGGCGGGCCACGGTGCTGCGGTACCAGTGCGTGTATATATAACAGTGTGCGTGTATACACAACAGTGTGCACTCACCACTAGGAACACCTGGCGCAGGCGGGCCACGGTGCTGCGGTACCAGTGCGTGTATATATAACAGTGTGCGTGTATACACAACAGTGTGCACTCACCACTAGGAACACCTGGCGCAGGCGGGCCACGGTGCTGCGGTACCAGTGCGTGTATATATAACAGTGTGCGTGTATACACAACAGTGTGCACTCACCACTAGGAACACCTGGCGCAGGCGGGCCACGGTGCTGCGGTACCAGTGCGTGTATATATAACAGTGTGCGTGTATACACAACAGTGTGCACTCACCACTAGGAACACCTGGCGCAGGCGGGCCACGGTGCTGCGGTACCAGTGCGTGTATATATAACAGTGTGCGTGTATACACAACAGTGCGTGTATATATAACAGTGTGCGTGTATACACAACAGTGTGCACTCACCACTAGGAACACCTGGCGCAGGCGGGCCACGGTGCTGCGGTACCAGTGCGTGTATATATAACAGTGTGCGTGTATACACAACAGTGTGCACTCACCACTAGGAACACCTGGCGCAGGCGGGCCACGGTGCTGCGGTACCAGTGCGTGTATATATAACAGTGTGCGTGTATACACAACAGTGTGCACTCACCACTAGGAACACCTGGCGCAGGCGGGCCACGGTGCTGCGGTACCAGTGCGTGTATATATAACAGTGTGCGTGTATACACAACAGTGTGCACTCACCACTAGGAACACCTGGCGCAGGCGGGCCACGGTGCTGCGGTACCAGTGCGTGTATATATAACAGTGTGCGTGTATACACAACAGTGTGCACTCACCACTAGGAACACCTGGCGCAGGCGGGCCACGGTGCTGCGGTACCAGTGCGTGTATATATAACAGTGTGCGTGTATACACAACAGTGCGTGTATATATAACAGTGTGCGTGTATACACAACAGTGTGCACTCACCACTAGGAACACCTGGCGCAGGCGGGCCACGGTGCTGCGGTACCAGTGCGTGTATATATAACAGTGTGCGTGTATACACAACAGTGTGCACTCACCACTAGGAACACCTGGCGCAGGCGGGCCACGGTGCTGCGGTACCAGTGCGTGTATATATAACAGTGTGCGTGTATACACAACAGTGTGCACTCACCACTAGGAACACCTGGCGCAGGCGGGCCACGGTGCTGCGGTACCAGTGCGTGTATATATAACAGTGTGCGTGTATACACAACAGTGCGTGTATATATAACAGTGTGCGTGTATACACAACAGTGTGCACTCACCACTAGGAACACCTGGCGCAGGCGGGCCACGGTGCTGCGGTACCAGTGCGTGTATATATAACAGTGTGCGTGTATACACAACAGTGCGTGTATATATAACAGTGTGCGTGTATACACAACAGTGTGCACTCACCACTAGGAACACCTGGCGCAGGCGGGCCACGGTGCTGCGGTACCAGTGCGTGTATATATAACAGTGTGCGTGTATACACAACAGTGCGTGTATATATAACAGTGTGCGTGTATACACAACAGTGTGCACTCACCACTAGGAACACCTGGCGCAGGCGGGCCACGGTGCTGCGGTACCAGTGCGTGTCGGGGTCGCGTGCGTCGGTGTCGCAGCGCACCAAGTGCTCGGACAGGATCATGATGAAGCGCTGGAATACGATCAGGAACAGCCGCTTCTGGTCCGTGTGCGCCATCTCAAGTCGCTCCTCCATGCGCTCTACCGCCTGCAAACAATACCGAAATAATGAGCATCAAGGCAAACACTATCGGCGAATTTTAACCACAGCGACTTCGGAAGGTAAACGAGAGCACGGAGCAATATCAAAGACGAGTATCCGATAAATACATTTTCATGGGTTTATTTGTTAATTTGATATTTGATAATGCGTGGGATTAGAAACCAATTTTGATTATTTGTGTGTTTGCACACATTTCGAGTTCGGCCATCACCATTATGTCTTCGTTAATTAATGTCAAATTAATCGATTGATTGAATATTTTAGCCCTGCATAACAAAAACATATAGGTACCTCTTCAGTCGGTTTGTCTTGATCTTTCTTCTTCTTACTTCCACTTTCATCTTCCGAATCGGAACTGCTCGAGTCGGCTCTTGCTAAAGCCTCTCTAGCTTCTTGTAGTTCCGCACCTTATAATAAATACAAAGTAATATAAAATTAAAATTATTCTTTAAAATAATGACTGTAATGCAAAATTCAGCACATCTAAAACACTTACTCAGTTTAGAGACATGTTTATTCATTTTATCGATAGTCAAATGCAGTATCTCCCACAGATAGTTGTGTGTGAAAAATGGCGCCATGTCTTTGGAGAAAAGCCAAGTAGCTACAGCGCTGCACTCGACCACTTGGGTCTTGAGCATTTTGTCCACTAACACGCACACCATTTGAGGATGTCGCTGCCACAACTCCCACACGTTACGCAATACACAAATTTGAGCTTCCTCCGATTCTGCCAAAATCTGGAACACAATGTAAAACTTAAGCAAATTGAAATAAATATATTTACTATTTTAAAATGATTTTTATTTATCACAGTACTTGTCTACCTAATCTGTCTAAGGCTTATAGGATGCCTTTGTCCGGTCTGGATAAATTCTCCTTCTCCTCAATAGCACGTAGGGTAGCATAACTGAACATAAGTCTTTAGTAGCGAGTTTTTGCTATTAACACAGGTAAAGTAGCGATTATAATACCAGCCACATACACTACGCATCTATAACACTCACGTTATGTCACCCTTCGCTGGTTGAAATACCTGCCGTCTAGACAAATAATCTGATAAAGAATTTAACAGCAACCGTATCAAACTACCGAGAGGTTATTAAATGAAACTAATTTTACGTGTTACAGCACCCATGGTCACGGGGTTGACCATGGGTGCTGTAGAGCACCCGAAACGTCGGGACATAATAATCAAAATTAAACGCGATGAAATCTGTAAAATTAAAGTTTAATTTAATGTGTAACATTCTGGTAAATAACCGTTACAGCCTATTAAAGTCCACTGCCGAATATAGGCCTACCTCATATATTGATGAAATTACTCACGCTCCTGCTACTGTGCTTTTTGGCACCGTGCGCAAATAGTTATAGATTCGCATGGACATGAACTTAGTGGTGGTGTATTATTGGATAGTGCTTCTCAAAGTAATTTTATAACGCATCAATGTTGTCATCACCTAGGATTAATTGCAAATAAGACACATTCATGTCCCGTAGTGAAGGGAATTGGAGGCTTCAATAAAACGGTTCAAAGTTCGGTAAATTTAAAATTATATTCGCGCTTCGATCGCAGTGTTAACTTTAGTATGAATTCATTGGTCGTAGACAAAGTGACGGCTCTGTGGCGTAGTGGCTTAGCAATCAGTTGTTGCTGGGGGCCGCGGGTTCGAATCCCGCACGGAACAAGTATTTGTATGGCCTACAAATAATTGTTCCGGGTCTGGATGTTTGTCCTTGTGCAATTTATGTTTGTAAACTGCCTCCACGACACAGGAGAAAATCCTAGTGTGGGGGTAACGTTCTTTAAAAAGAGAAAAAAAAAGAACAAAGTAAAGTGTACGAGCGTCTGGCCTCTATTTCGGTTGATACTTCCGTAATAATAAATTTTAATAATTTGGCTTTAGCGGATGATACTTACTCCATTCCTGGAGACATTGATGTGCTCATTGGGGCATCTATTTTCGCTCACCTCTTGTTATATCATATCAAGGTTAACCCCTCGAGTATAGCACCTTGCGCATTGGAAACCGTTTTAGGTAGGATATTTGCCAAAGTTGCCACGTTTGGCAAGCGGGTTTGATACCGCAGTCCTTTATTTTTAGTCTATATAAGGAAGACGGTGCTGCCCATCTCCTGAATTGTTTGCCTCTATCGCCTCTTACGACTGACACCCGCGGGGTGATATGGGAATGATATAAGAAATAGTTATGGCGGGGTGACCTTGAAGACGTAGTGGAACTTGGAGATGGCGGCGAAGCTGTGCGAGATGCTCTTGCTGCCGAGGTTGAGCAGCGTCTGCACGAACACGTCGATCTTGAGCGGGTTGTAGTGCGCGGCGTGCGCGGCGGCCGGCTCGCCGTCGCGCAGCGGGTTGGGCAGCTCGCGCACCACGTTCAGCGCCTCCTCCGCCGAGCACTTGTTGCGCACGCACACCACCAGCCGGTGCGCCGCCTCTGTGCCCGGCAGCGACGCTGCATATCAAACCGTTTGGAATGTTTCAATAAAATGCCACGATTAATAATAACGATAATAATGTCCTCTAGACCAAATTTCGGTCACGGCGGCTAGCCTCAACGGACACTAGCCTTCTGCGGATTATAGTACCGAGTGTATGCGCAAACATCGATGCACTCTCAGCTATACGTGCTTGCCAAGGCACGGAGCTGGAACACCGCCAATTTCCTGACTCCGAGCTGTTGGTGGATAACCGATTTTTGTTTGCCCAACCCTGCATTCGAAGTCGGGACCACTAGAACAACGACGCAGTCGATGCAGTTTGATGCTATATTTAATAGCGTTTTGACTGCTTCGTTAGTCTAGGGTTCATAAACACAACTGCTCTACATGAGGTCCCGAGTCAAAAATCCGGATTACTGTTACTGTTTCAGCCTATTAAAGTACAATATGATCATCAGGAGTCACCCCAAGTATTCTTCTTAACTTATTTGATAAATCAAACGTTTCCAATTTAAAAATAAATAACATTATATTTAACTTAGAAACAATAAAGTGGCAGTGTATCGGCTTCCTTAGTTGAGATATTCGAAGTGATAGCCGCACTAGAACAATACCGGAGATCGAGTTGCGCAAAACGCAGTGAGCTGTTTCATATCAGCATGGTTGTTTTCGCGGGCATGGGAACCTAGCTCGTTTCATTAGCGTCGAAAAGCAATTAAATCTTAAGTAATCGTGAGTTAATATACACATAATTAAATTTGGATAACAAAAGCTATGAGAGCCGTGCCAGCCCTGGGACTTATAGATAAATGTCATAGTACGCGAGCGACCCGGTTTCGATCCCCGCCGGTACCAATATTGTTAATTAACATTTTTTTTTTCTTATAGAATGGAGGTGAACGAGCACACAGCCCACCCGACGGTAAGTGGTTTCTGTGGCCCATAGACATCTACATCTATCCTTGATTAAGAATCAAAATGTAGATGCGTTGTCACACCTGAGGATTAAGATGGAATGCCTCGTTCCTAGTAAAAAGGGTCTCCGGTTTTCTACACTTAACATACGAGACACAGCAGCATTAAACTCTGCTTATTAGCTGGTATTCTCTGAGAGCGTTATCGTGCCCCGGTCAAGCCGACCCATTTGTGCGTGTAGCACGAATCAGTCGGCTCGACCATAATAATTATATCTCGAGCATGGCTCTACCACGTAAAGCATAACATATTAATTATTAGTATTTTGTTCGTTTTTACATACAGTAAGATGAATTTATGTAATAGAATGTTTAGTTTCCTATTTTTAACTTTGTTTCAAACGTCAGCTACTTTTATTTTACTGCATGCTATCATTAATATTATGTAGATATTGTTTGGTAGTGATCAATAATAATCTGTATCTGCATTATAACCACCATTAAGCTAACCGTTGTTATCATTATCATTAGTATTTTTAGTCTTGCCAAGAAATTTCCAGTAGTATTCCTGAAAAGAGTTGTACCTGCGTACACATTAATCACCACGCTGAGAAGTTTTGAGTTGCCAACATAAAATAATTTAAATTTTATACAGCCGACTTCAATATAAGTTATTAAGAATAACTCAAAAACTATTGGTCTGACCTTGATCAAATCATATGGGACCACACGAGAAGTACCTGCTTTCAAATAAAAAAAGACTCGTCGAAATAGCTTCACCCAGTAAAAAATTATGAGGTAACACACATAAAAAAAAACGTACATCATCGAATTGATACCGTCTCCTGGAAGTCGGCAGATAATAAGAACTGTAGTTGCCAACCCGCTTGCCCAGGGTCGCAACTAAAACAAATATTCCGCCTTTAAGGAAATCTATGGGGTAGGCTTTTATTCACCAGTGTAATTTTGTAGGTTGTAATGATTCAATGATGAAATGATTTTCACATAATATTAAGTCAACCGCTAGAGCCTCGTCCGACTGCAAAGTGTGCAATTTCATGTAACAAAATCTGGGGGCAAGGAAGTGCCCCCGCCAAGTCGACCAAAAAACGGCACGGCCGTACCATCCTTTTCCCGAAGCAGTTCCGGCCATTTTCGAAACCCTATAACTTCTTTGTGGATTGAACTAGAAGCCTGAATTTTCAGTAACCAAGTAAGCATTGTAAAAACTCTGTATATTTCAAATTTCATTAAATTTGAACCAGTAGTTTAAGAATTATAACTAGTCAAAGTTTCTTAATTTTGTCACTCACTGACTGACCGATCTTCAAAACTTTAAGAGACTTCTGGCAGACGTAGAAGCTTCAAATTTGGAATACAACTATTGTTTAGTACATAAATCAAGAAATTAAAATATTTAGCAATTTAGGTCCAGTTTTCGAGATATACCAACTGCATAAATAACTTTGTAATCCCATATAAATTGGAGCCACACGCAAGTGTGAGTGACGATCCAAGAGCGAGTCTTATCCGACACTATTCCGAAGATATCCCGGACGTCAGTCTGCGCGAGATTAGAATGGCTCTCCAGCATCTTAAAAACGGCAAGGCCCCAGGCGAGGATGGAATTACAGCGGAGCTTCTGAAAGCGGGTGGAAAACCGGTCCTGGAAGTCCTTCAGAGGCTCTTTAATTCCGTCCTCCATGGTGGCATTACACCGGAGGCGTGGAGCAGAAGTGCGGTGGTCTTGTTCTTCAAGAAAGGTGACAATGCTCTCTTGAAGAACTACAGACCGATTTCCCTTCTGAGCCACGTCTACGTGCTGTTTTCGAGTCATTACGAATCGTCTCGCACGCATGCTTGAAGACTTCCAGCCTCCCGAACAAGCCGGTTTCCGAAAGGGCACCATAGACCACATACATACCCTTCGGCAAGTTGTACAGAAGTCCTAGGAGTACAATTTGCCACTATGCTTGGCGTATGTGGAGAAAGCCTTTGATTCCGTCGAAATTTGCGCGGTGCTGCAGTCCCTTCAGCGGTGCCAAGTTGACTGTCGGTATATCGAAGTGCTGAAGTGCTTGTACAGGAGGGTTACGATGGCTATCCGAGTACAGAACCAGAGTACGAAACCTATCCAATTGCAGAGAGGTGTAAGACAGGATGACGTTATATCCCCGAAACTCTTCACCGCTGCATTGGAAGACGTTTTCAAGCTAATGGACTGGAAAGGATACGGTATTAACATCAATGGCGAGTACATCACTCACCTTCGATTTGCCGACGATATAGTCCTTATGACAGAATCGCTGGAGAACCTAAGCACTATGCTCAATGACCTCAATAGTGTCTCCCAGCGGATAGGTCTTAAGATGAACATGGACAAAACAAAGATTATGATTAATGTCCATGTCACACCTATGCCGGTAGTTGTTGGGAGCACTAAGCTCGAACTTGTTGACGAGTATGTTTACCTGGGACAAATAGTCCGACTAGGTAAGTCCAACTTCGACCGAGAGGTCAATCGACGGATTCAACTCGGCTGGGCAGCGTTCGGGAAGCTACGACACATCTTCTCGTCAGACATATCTCAAAACTTTAAAACGAATTTGTACAACCAGTGCGTGTTGCCAGTGATGACTTACGGATCTGAGACGTGGTCCTTCACTGCTGGCCATATGAGGAAGCTCAAGGTCGCTCAGCGAGCTATGGAGAGGGCTATACTCGGAGTTTCTCTGCGTGATAAACTGGAATGAGGATATCCGCAGTAGAACCAGAGTAACCGACATAGCCTAACGGATTAGTAAGCTGAAGTGGCACTGGGCCGGCCATATAGCTCGAAGAACCGACAACCGATGGGGAAGAAAGGTTCTTGAGTGGCAGCCTCGGTAGGCGAAGTGTAGGGCGACCCCCCACGAGATGGAGTGACGACCTGGTAAGACATGCAGGAAGTCGATGGATGCAGGTGGCTCAGGACCGTGCTTTGTGGCATTCCTTGAGGGAGGCCTATGTTCAGCAGTGGACTTATGAAAGACTGTAATGATGGTGAATGATGATGACAAAGTTACATATGCAGTGAATGAATTAATCACTAAACAATCTAATTTAATATAATATGTATTACTTGAGAGATACATTGTGTTTTCATGCGACGGCCAAGTCAATCTATTTATTTAAAATATAAAAGATTTTTAGTATTGATGTGGTCACTATAAGATGTTGTTAGGTTAGCTAATTACGTAATAACGTATATAAGATGTTGTTAGGTTAGCTAATTACGTAAGACAGAAGGACCCTTAAGTAGGGACTGAATAACTTAACTGACTTGGTATTACATGGATCTCACAACTTTTTACGGTAGAAGAACTGAGTTGCGAGACTTGGTTTTTTTACGAGTTATGTTTTTGATGGCATACATTAAACGACATAACTAACGCAAACGTCTTATATTAATGTAACGAGGAAAGCGAGTAAATACATGAACAACTGAAGCATAACATTGCCAATATTTAGCACGTAAAGGTAAAGCACGAAAGTTTATCGTCTCTACGCACTTTAAACATGTTTGTCAATTACTGTACCAGGCATTCCAATTAGAGACAATTCTTGAATATGTTTTTGATTAAAAATATAATCATTTATAATTGTGATTGTGTAGTTACTTACAATACACGACTACTTTAACATGTATATTGTATACAGTACTAATTGTATCTGGGCGATAGAGAATAAGTAATTTATTTAAAAATTGTTATTATTAATTACAAATTTATTAATGGTAATTTACCTCGTGTTTTGTGGTGAAGGGAAATATGGTGATGATACTAAGTATAAATTATTGGATGACGTGTAGAATCCGTCAACACGAATCGGGACGCGCAATGCATCGGACTCTTTCCTGCTCTAAAAAACCATTTAGTAATTTGAAGACAGCGAATGCCGAGCATTAGGATATATAATATATAAAAATATATCTTCAAAAAATTAGGTACAGTAGGATTTTCTCCAGTGTCGTGGAGTTTTACCTACATACATAAATTGCGCAAGGACACTCACCCAGTGCCCGAAACAATTATTTCGAATCCATACAAACACTTGTTCTG